AATCTGGGGGTTGTGCTTACGGAGCCAGGTGGCCCCCAAGATGACCGGGAACTGCGGGGAGTCAATTATCATAAACACCAGTTCCTCCTTGTGGTTATCTCCCATCGTGAGCTCCACTGGTCCAGAAACAAGACGGGAGTGGTTGAGTCCATGGCCGTCCAGAGCGAGCACACTGCGGGGAGAGGAACCAGGGTGGAGCCGGATGTTAAGTTTCCTCGCCAATCCCTCATCCATGAACTCCGTGTCGGCCCCTGAGTCGACAAACACGGAGACGCTGTGGGACTTGGTAGAGGTGGTTAGGGTGGCAGGAAGTAAGTGGTCTGGGGGAACAGCAAGTTTGGCGTAGCTCAGTAGGGATCCCCCTCTCCCTACTGAGCTTGGTCTCTTTACCGGACAGTTCCTGACTTGATGACCCGTCCCTCCGCAGTAAAGGCAGAGTCCCTGCTGCCGTCTGCGCAGGGACTCCTCCTGCGCCAGACCGATCCTCCCTAGCTGCATGGGTTCAGAGGCCGCTGTCTTCTGATGAGGGGAAAAGGAAGCAGAGGAAGCCGCCTTCCACCCCGGGGAGGGGGCCAAACGGCGCTCTCTCTGCCGCTCCTGAAGACGGAGGTCCACCCGGATGGCAAGTTCCTCCAGTTGTTTGAGGGACTTGGGGAATTCGCAGGTGGCTAATTCATCCTTAATTCTGCCATTAAGTCCGCGAGTAAAAACGTCCATCAGAGCGTGCTCATTCCACAAACTCAGCAGCGAGTAAGTGGAAATCCTTTTTTTGGGGAGTTTTGGCCTGGTTATTATTTATTGCACTTTGAAGTGCCTCATCCAGTTTAAGGATGTCCTCAGTCATTTCCTAAACTGAAATGTTGTTCTCAACAATCTCATCCACCTTTAAAATGATTTAATGGTTAGATTGAAGCATTAATATACACATTGTTCATACAAAATGCAACTCACCCTGTATTCTTCAGGGATCTCGCTGGGGTACCTTGCCTCTCTCCCAAACATTACAAAATATGGGGAGAATTTAGTGGTAACTTGGCGCTTAGTCCTGAGTCCGAACATCACAGCATCCAAGTGCTTGTCCCACTCCTCTGGCCTCTCCTGTGCAAGTTTTGATAGTGCCCTAGAAAAAAAGTTTAAATCATGGAGCTCTTCTCGAGTTTTTACGATTCATATACTGTTTATTTTATAACCAACAAAATTTCAAAGTGATAATTATCAAATGTTATAAAAGACATACCTGTGGATGGTCCCATTGATCCTCTCCACCAGTCCATTGGTCTGGGGATGGTAGGGAGAGCAAAGGCTTCTTTGTATCCCCAGTATATTGCATACTTTTTTGTTGATCTGTATTGGAATAAATAAAGACAGCAAATTAGATGTATTTTTTAGAAATAATGTCTTTGTTTTTCATTGAGTTCAAAACATTTAAATTAGTTATTACAAAAAATTCTATTCATGATAAGTTTTTAATATATTTTTATTTAATGTCAGTAGCATATATACCTCATTAACA